AAAATCCACTTTACTTACATAACACTAAATTGTTCTTAAAGACTACCTACTCATTTTCCAATAATCCTTTATTATTTCAAAATTTCTAGCGGCTCGGAAGTGAATTTTATTTCTTTTATTTGAATAAATGAGAACCCAGAAATTAATAATGTAGTTTATTGCTTACTGTCAGGACTATTTCAAAGACTAAGAGTTTCTTCTAACTCCTCCCTCTCAAAGGAATCCTAAATTATTAGTTGTTAGATACGTTTTGTATGCTAAGGTATTCAGGTGTATTGTTTATGTATGTGTGTATATATAAATATATATGTATATATAAATATGTTCAGTTTGGAGTCTGGCACAACTCCATTATGTGGATTAGAGAGTAAAATATTATGGATGATAAAGTACTTAATGAAACATAATATTTATTTATAAAAGTGTGTAGATTGTTAAATCACAAGAAGAGTGCTGTGAGCATTATGTATGAGGAAGCAGGTCTTTGACCTCCTGGAAAGCATCGCTCAAAAGTCATTAGTGACCATTTTTTAATTCCCCAAACAGAAAGCTTCTTAGAAAACATGCTGAGATTTTATTTACAGGGAATTCTTTGACACATTTCAATTGGTGTGTAGTCAAGTATAGCAAGTACTTAATGATGACTGAATTTCATGTTCCTGGAGTCATGCATATTCATTAGAAGTTTTATGTTGTTGCTCTGATCTGATTCTTCTTTGTTTGTGTATGGAACGGCACTGAGAGAAGTATAGTTTTTTAAACTTCAAAATGTTCAGTAGTTATTGCCTTAGAAAACCGAGACACGTAATAGTGGAAATGAAAGAAATGACATCAGAAGTGACTTATTTTAGCCATTATGATTCCTCCTGTAAAACAAAACAGAAAAAAAATGCCATATTTTTTGGAGAAAAGTTGGCAATGTAGGGGTTTTGTTGTCTGTTTCACAAGAAGACTCATTTGTGTTCTTTCGGGGAACCAGTGCCTTACAGATTCTGTATATATTGTAATTATTCAGGACTAGGGAACAAACAATTGTATTTGTTACAGATTGTATATGGCTTTGTTTTAACATTCCCCTAAATAAAATGGTTTCATTCTCCCCTTGGAAAAAAACATGACTGTTATCTTATAGTGGCGCTTGCTTGCTTATTTATTTATTATTTATTTATTTTGTCTTTGGAAATATCACATTGTAACAGGTGGAAAGGAACTGTGAAGGAGGCAGATGCAGGTAGGTTTTTCACATTTCATGGCAGGAGGACAAGAGAAACGGGCTAATAGCTGCTACTTTCTTTGTGAGGGAAACACAGTCATCTGCTGAGAAGGAGGGAAAGGCGGGAAGTCAGTGGTTTGAGAAGAGTGAAGAAGGTTTAAAATTGCACAGGAAAATCACAGCTTGCTGGGGAGAAAGCCAGATGATCACGGGCAACTCCGAGGGCTTGGTTAGGCTTCATGAAGGTGACTGTGGCACAGGGGCTGAATGTAGACTCGGGGCCACCAGGCGGCCTGTGTGTGAATCCAGCTTCTCTCACTCCCCCAGGTGTGTGATTGGGCACGTTTTGACCTCTCAGACTCACTTTCTTCCCCTTGAAGATGAGTATGATGTTAATGCCCACCATCTGGAGTTGTTCTGAAGATGAAATGAAATAATCCGTGCACCAAGCTTGTGGTGAGTGCTCAACTATTACTCTGAGTATTATCAGAAATTCATACTGCTACTTTTCTTGTGGTTTGTGGTTTTATCTTTCTGTTAGCAACACAGGTGTATAGAGACAGCAATGATGGGATTCATTCAGGGTACTGGTTTGTCATGCAAATATAGCAACAGGTCATGGAAAGTAAGAATTATTACTATCAAGGTGCTGATGGACCAGAGGAAGGAAGGAATTAATTAGAGGAGCTAACAGACCAATAAAAACCCCAGGTCCCAGGACAGGGAAACCTGATGGGGCAGAGGTGGCATCTCCACAGTTACTGAGAGAGAGGGGCTGTGGTCAGATTTCAAAGGGGAAACAGCAAGGCTAAGGGTATGATCGCAGGAGTGGGTGAATTTAGTTCATGGACAATATGGTTGGTGATGAAAGAGGAGCTCAAAACCTGGCCTTTAGATTTGTTGTCTTCATGGATTTTGCAGGTGGCAGTCTTGGGGAGAGGAAGGTTGTGAGTCAAAATTCTCCAGTGCCACAGGAGAATGGGGGAGGGGTGCAGTCAGCAAGAGGCAGAGAGAGGGGCTGGCAGGGTCTGGAGGCCTGAAGTGCAAAGCAGTGGGTTTTAATGCAAGCGTAATGATCTGGAATCAGCAGCGCTCTGTGAAAAAGACCGCACCCTCCTGCCAGCTGTGGAGTGTTTAAGGTGTGGAAGGGTGAGGCTATTGCCGCTGCCCTGAATCGTCGCTGAGGGAGTAGAGAACCCTCTGTGAAAGGGGCGGGCATGTCTTAGGGCTATTTTTCGCATGCATTATGGACTCTGGAGAGCAGAGTGAGAAGTCTGGTTTTGAGGGGATCCACTGGACATTGGATCAGGACCAGGGAATCCCAAAATTGGGGAGTGAAGAGTGCAAAAAGGTTTGCATTGACAGAGGGAATGAAGAGTTTGGGTGAGATTGGCAGTAGTTGGCCAGCTGCACTCGTGTCGGAAGAGTGCATCCTAGCACTGGGATTCAGATTGACCTGCTTAAAGTCAACCATTTCCTGATTTTTTTCATTCATTGGAAGTATATAATCTCTGAGCCCAATCATCCCACCTGTAAATTCCCACCTCTTAGGGCTCTTAGGAGGAACCAAAAAGATGAATGTCTGAAGTATGTCAGGGCCCAGGCCAGATGCATCACAGTTGCTCAGAAATACTGCTTGCTTTCTCTCTCTCTCTGTCTCTCTCTCTCTCTTTCTCTCTCCCCCCATTCTTTCCTTTTCTCTCTCTCCCTCTTTTTTCTGTCCTTTTTTCTTTTTCTTTCTCCCTTTCTTTCTCCTTCTCCCTTTTCCCCTTTTTCTTTCTTTGTTTTCCTTCCCCCTTTTTCTTTCTCCCTTTCTCTTTCTCCCTCTTTTTCTTTCTCTCTCCCTCTCTTTCTCCCTCTTTTTCTCTTTCTATCTCCCTTTCTCCCTCTTTTTCTCTCCCTCTTTCTCCCTCTCTCTCTCCTCCCCAACTCCCTCCCTTCCCTCCCATCCTCCCCTCCCTCCCCACCACCCCTTTCTTCCCTTCCTTCCAGGTTTCACTGTCTTGCCCAGGCTGGAGTGCAGTGGCATGATCAAAACTTACTGCAGCCTTGATCTCCTGGCTCAAGTGACTTTCCCATCTCAGCCTCCCAAGTAGATGGGACTGCAGGCAACCATCACCATGGCTGGCTAATTTTATGTTTAGTAGAGACAAGGCGTCAATATGTTTCCTAGGCTGGTCCCAAACTCCAGGGCTCAAGTGATCTTCTCACCTTGGCCTCCCAAAGTCCTGAGATTACAGGTGTGAGCCACCGTGCCCAGACAACACTGCATTTTCTTCCTGCCATTAGTTAGCAGAATCTACAATTAGCAGCATTTAAAACCAGCTGAGATTGGCTGTTGGTACATCTCTCCCACCTTCTCTTGCCCCACTTCTGTGTGTCGTGGGCTCAAGTTAAACTTTTCACAGAACTCACAGGCAGATTGACAGTAAATCCCAGCTGAGGAAAAAAGGTAATTCTCTTGTCATTGGTCATTTTGTAGGTTGCAAGCTTGTTGCCTCCATCTGATCACAGCAGCAGAGTATAGATGACCGTACTCTCAGAAGTTTTGTCTCTGCAAAGTAATTTCTAATTTCTACTCTAGGTTCTAATCTGAGCTCAGCTCTGAGGATGTCTGGGGCTGCTGAGGTTCTTTGCTTGGCACACATATGCTGGTACTGTGAGACAGGAGCTGAGGGAGGCCAAGCTTCAGAATGCGCCTGGGACCCCCACTCAGAGCCAGGGGCTTAGGTTGGGTCCTCAGTGAATAGTCGTTGAAAATGCTTGCATGCCATCCTAGGTAAGGCTTTCTCAGTCCGCAGCTACCAAAGCTGCTAATTAGGAGTGAGCGGTCTTGCAACAGGGCTGAGCCTTTGCCACCATGTGTTTTCTGTGTACAGTACAGTTTTTGTTTGTGGTTTTTTTTTGTTGTTCATTGTATTTTCACTATTTTATGTGGAATTTGAATTCTCTAGCTCAGCTGCAGTCCTTCCTTCTCCCTTTGATTTTACCCAGGTTCCAGTTTATGTATTTCCATTACTTCCTTAGCCTCAAAGAAACATTTAAATTCATGATCCCCGCATCGATTCAGTTTTAAGTCACTTTCTTCCAGGCCATGGCATGGATCAGTCCCTAAGTGGTGGGCAATTGCTTACACCCTTCAGCCTCTGAGGCTGCGGGGAGGGGTGGAGGAGGTGGCAGTCCCTCTAAGGATGCCTCTCCAGGTGTTCACTCATGGAGGACAGGGCTGCCTTTGCTTTTAGTCCTCAGCATCACAGCTGTTTCCCACCTCACAGCTGAAGCCCTTGGCTTGCCCACCCTAAGGCAGTGGCCAACAGTCCTGTACCAAGCTGAACTCTGCTGGCAGTTGCTCACCTTTCATTTCCCACCTATTCATATAGTTATTCGCAAACTTCATTTAAAATCAGATCTCTGGGAGCAGGGATTTGTACTCTATTTAGAAGCTCCCGCTCCGGGGAATTCTGTGAAATTCTAAGACATTAGTTCTCACCCTTAACTGCTCATTAGTGCTACCTGGGAGCTTTTAACACCCAAGACTCAGGCTACGCCTAGATTACTTCCATCAATCTCTGGAGGTGTGACCCTGGCATTAGTTCTTAAGTCTCCTCGGGTGAGTCCATTGTGCAGCTGATTTTTTAGTGGCATCATTCTAGAATCTCATCCTGTGCCTGCCGGAGGTTGTGATCACCATCCACACAGGACCCAAAGGCTTTCTGTTCTACCGAAGAAACACATGGCGACTCTGAACGCGCAGGAGACCCTTGTTATGAAGTGAAGGAGGCAGCACTTTGTTGCTTATAAATATAATTTATTACCTGTTTAAAAATTCTTTCTTACATTTTGTACATGTTGGCTGGCAGAATAAATGCAGGCAATTTACAAACCAAGGGGACTGCAGGAAAAATCGGGATTGGCAGCCAGGGAGAGAAAAGAGGCACACCCGGAGCTGGTATCCCTCACCTCCACCGCTGAGCAAGGCGCCCGACAGACGTCCAGAGGGCACTCTGCCTCTGCCGGGGGGAGATTTTAGAAAAGGAATTGCATAGAAGATACAGCAAGAGGGAACTCCACAACAACAAAAATGTTCCATATCGGAAAAGCCAAGGTTGCCGTGTTTTATTTAAAAAAGAAAAATGACAAAGCACAAAACCTCAGTTTGACCTTTCTGCAGTTGAACTGTTCCAAAGGGGACAGCAGGTGGATGACACTGCCTCTTGAACATGGACTGCTGGGGATTTTTCTCTGACAAACACTGGTGTCTTCTCTAGGAAGAGCAAAGAGGAAGGTCACCAACTTGCTGCAGCTCAACATTAAACTCCACACATACAACACTGTGACATCACACACACACACACACACACACACACACACACACACACACACAGAGTGATGATGTTCCCTGCAACTGGGCTCAATGCATTATGTCTGGAGGGCGAGGGCTGCACTACCAACAGCAGGTCTAGGAAAGCGTGAAGAGAATGCAAATCACTTGTTCTGACTGCTGTACTTTTTCTTGTCCGTGGCCTGGTGGAATAGACATCTGAGTTTTTACCCCCACATGTACAGATGCCATTAGTTACTTTCAGAATAGAAAAGGCAAAGGTATTTTACACCAGCTATAGATTTCTTGCTCTTATATGTCATTCTAAACAGGTTTGTTTTAACATTGAGAACATGGCTCAGGTTCCGATTCTCTGATGCTGCCTCCATAGTGCTCAGAGGCCAAAAGACAGCTCATCAATCCTGAGGCTGCTGATCAGCAAAACCTTCCTACAGTTCATCTTCTAAATGCCAGTTCTGAGGATTATTCCACTTGGGGTCAGTGCCATCAGGTTCTACAGCTGGTCTGATAGTACCTAGTCCAGTAGACTTTTGGAACTTAAAAATGACATACGATTTAGACATATTTGTAAGAGACCCTTTTTTTGTTTTTTTTTTTTTTTGAGACAGAGTTTCGCTCTTGTTACCCAGGTTGGAGTGCAATGGCGTGATCTCGGCTCACCGTAACCTCTGCCTCCTGGGTTCAGGCAATTCTCCTGCCTCAGCCTCCTGAATAGCAGGGATTACAGGCATGGGCCACAATGCCTGGCTAATTTTTTGTATTTTTAGTAGAGACGGGGTTTCACCATGTTGACCAGGATGGTCTTGATCTCTTGACCTCGTGATCCACCCACCTCGGCCTCCCAAAGTGCTGGGATTACTGGCTTGAGCCACCGCTCCCGGCCTGTAAGAGACCCCTAAATAGTATGACTTGCAATTTACATTACTGTTGAAGGACAAATCTGAAATGTTATATTAAAAGGCTGGCCTTCAGTAGCAAATACTATGGCTGGTGGGCAGCTTACTCTATCTCAGGGCAGCTTCCTCGTTTACTACTCAGAAGCTAGATGGACCACAACTGTCATGATATTCTGCAGAGATTCCTGACTTGGGATTCCAGAAGATCTCTGGACAGGTCCCTTCAGTAGGCAAGTGTGTGAGTAGAGAGCAGGCTGGTGAAGAGCTGCTAATACTTGCTGGGCTTTGTGTGCCAGTCCACTTGTGGAATACCTGGCAGTTTTTCCTGCTGATGCCCCTGGACCATGCTAAAATAGGTTTGAGGCACACATTACATTTGGTTGAATGAGCCCATTAATATGCTACCACAGATCAATACAATGAGGTGACAGGTCCACTGGAAAACCTAGGAGCCATGAACCCTTGTGAAGACAGGGTATTAAAGTAGCATTTATAAAAATGGGGTAAGCACAAGGCTGATAAAACTAAAGTTCATTGCTAGACTTAGTCTGCAGAGAAAATCCACCCAGTGCTACACAAAGCCATCTCTCCACTGTTCAGAAACAGGGTTTTCACACTAGAATTCTGGAAATATTAATGACTTGTTTTGGCTTCCTTGGCCTGTATGGACATGGGTGCACATAACATTGGTTACAGTGTATTTATTCCCCCTTATGACTGATTCCATTAAAAAGAAATCATTAGAGATGTGAAGGAAATCTTCCAAAGTGATCATTACAGCCAGAGTTTATACAAATAGATCTCTTAGGGTAGAGAAACAGTACTGCATTGCACAGAGGCAAAGTTCTAAAGATTTCAGTCAACATTAGCTCAGCAAGGTTAAAGAATATATAAAAAAAAATACAAAAAAACCGAAGAGTAATAGTTGGTCCTATGAGGCACTCGAAAGGTAAAAAAAGTTTTGTTAACTTGAGATAATAAAATATTTTCCTTATTAGATCTATAAAATCTAACACTTAACCATTATCTTGAGCAACAATGTTCTGCTTCACAAAAGCTCCTCCATTCTCAAAGAAGATGGATAAAGCCCCATTTCATTTCAGCTGTGTTACCATGGGCCCCCTTTCACTCATTAGCCTGGGGCTTGCACTGAGGTCTCCACATGAAACTGATGACTTGCCCAGAACAACTATCCAGCAAAAGCTAAGACTCATACTCAACTTGAAGACTTGAAAACCCAACAAAGTAAACCTTTCCTACCTTCCTTACGCTCTCTTGCAGGTCCTTACATTGTTTTATATTCTTTTGGCCCCATAGGGGCAGAACTTATAGAGGCAAAGACCTGTGAATTCTGGGGAGACAGTGATCACCTCATTAACTCCCATCTGCATGTGTGGATTACAGAGGAGTAAGTGGACCAAGAGCACAGCCGCTGTGATCCTGACAGACACACACAGAAGGACACACAAGACAGGAGCCGTGGTGCTCTTCTCCTGGAGAAATGAAAAGGCATGATTCCTCCCTCAGAACACTGACTTTTTGGAAATCTTACTTGTAGGAAAAATTCCTTTAAGAAATTACTGATTGCACAGTTTCAGAGTGTCCTGAACTCAGTCCTCACAACTTTTTCCCCCTAAAAATAGCTCTGCTTTTTGATAGTTGAGAGTTTAAAATCAATAGTATATATGAAAATGGATAATTATACAGTTTGATATTGAACACCTCACACAAAATGTTGTCCAGCTCTTGAAGAGCCTAACTTGCTCACAACAGGATAGGAGTTTTCTGCATAACAGAGGTGAGTATTTATTTGGAAGATGCTGTTTGTCAAACAGCTGTTAGTTGTGAGTACCTTGGTGTTAACAGGTTTATCATCACCATGCCAGTTATCAATTCTGAATCCAACTTCAATTCCTTCCAGATATATTTTAAAAACTTGAATGAGTGTGATAGGAAGAAAATGGGATGAAACCTCTGCCTTTGATTCCCGAATTTAAGAGAAAAGAAGCTGCTTTGTTCCCCTTGATTAAAAACCCCAATTTTCTCTTTCCCATAGTATTCCATTGGCATATATAAGACTTATTTCTAAGCAGATATTTCTTACATTTCCAAAGATAAAGGGACTAAAAGTAAGGAGATTTAAAGTATACAAACCCCAACGAAAATCATAAATGTTAAAAATGACAACTCTTCAAAGACTGTTTTATATCATAGTTGTGTTACAAGAAGCAACTTAAGATGTGTGTATGAATGAGGTGTACTAGCATCACAATGACCTAATTTTGAGATGGGTGATGGAAGTGAAAAGAAAGTGAGAATAAGAATTATAATTTTAAATTTGAAGTGAAAATTTCCCCACATCCATTTGTCATAAAGGTACTTGAACGTTACAGGTTTTCATTCCCTTTGTCAAACAACTTCTAGTGAATTGTATTAAACTCAGGTGGATTGTGTTGCAGGCCACTAGATGGCAGCATGCACAAATGATAGTTTTTTCCTATCCAAATGAAGCCAGCCAAACTTGCCTCTCAAGTGGTGTAGAAAGAAGCAGAGCATATCACATAGAATGGTGGATGCAGTGACTTCCTATGAAATGAACTATTGTGTCTGGACCTTCTAACTTTGCAGGCAGTCTAACAGCTATTATTACTTTACTCCAAAGGAGAAGGAAATCAGAATTTGTAGTGAAGATTATTTGGTATAAATAGTGTATGTATGGAAGTTGTTGTCATTCACTTGGGAGGAAACAGAGGAGTTAATCTATGACAGGTGAGTACCTCACAAGAAATAAATCACTTTTCCCTTTTCTGGTGGTAGGGGGTTGAACCAAAAAGTATCTGAAGTGTCCCTCACAGGTTCTCAATGACTTAAGTAAAACAGTTACTGTTTGTGTTCAGTATTTCTGTGTTGGTGACTTTTCAGTCAAAAAGTTTTTAGTAACAGTTATGGAATTGATTCATCTTCATAGCTACATAGTTGCTCCCCTCTAGTTTTTACTAAGCATAGAAGTTTGAGCATTCAGTTCAGATTCTAGTTCTTGATTTCCATAGATGATGCCACAGCCTCGATACTGAAGAGTAATCTTGAAAGTTTATTTCAAAATATAGGAATGGACAATAGATCTCTCTCCTCCTCTTCCTTTAAAAAAGTATAATTGTGTGTGTATATATGATTTTAGTTTAGTTTTCCTCATTGCTACAAACATCCACTGAACTTGTTTACTAGTGCAATCTCTCCCTTCCCCAGTGTACATGTATGTTAACTATGGAAATCCAAATGCAGGGGGTGGCCTGAGAGACATTTTGTAGAATATATGTCTAAAACAGAAGATGAGGAACAAAAATCATGAAAGAAGAGGCTCCATAGCAAGGTATCAGCAGTCCTCAGAGATGAGGATGGAGGAGTCATCAAGGGACTATCAAGATGCTACCAAAACGGAGTGGAAACGTGGAAAGATGAAAGAAAAGGTGTAATTCAAATCTGTTCAGCAGCGTGTGTGCCTCCAGCCTCAAAGTAAGCCACAGTCGTGTTCTAAAGGTTCTGATTCAAACACATGTCTGCTTGTTCTTCAGCTTTGGTTTTGATACTGGGCTTTGACTCTTTAATCCCCACCTGCTGAATGAATTGAGTCCTTGTGTTAAAGAGCTTGTGATGGTCCCAAGGAGACATAGTAGTTTACATAAAGTAGTTTGTTGACTAACATTTTGCAGGATAACATTTTAAAAAACAGCTAACTAGAAAACCTTTATAAATGCTACTCAATATTGTAACAGCAAAAGATTAAGGTGGGGGGGCATAGTAAAAATGCACCAAGTTCCTACTGCCAGATAAACTTGTAGGAGTGGCCTTGATATCAAGATGCCAAGAAAATAGTAAAGTAGAATTTGCAAGCAGTCAGGAAGGCTGGGAATGGGGGTGTCCCAAGATAGGCTAAGAAAATAAAGGGCTGCCATCTCTCAGTGAACTGCATAATGCAATGATGCAGAGCGACTCAAGCCAAACAAACATATTGCAGGTAGAATAATCATCTTCCATGTCAGAACTATTTGAAAGGCATAACAAAGCCTGGGCAAAAGACCAGCGATTATTTTACACGATCTTGGTCAGAGTGTATTGTGGTCTTTAGACTGATGAATGAATGAGACTGGAGGCATCACGGTGGAAGTTTAGCATTTCAGAACCTTGAGATGATCTAATCCCAGCCCTTCACTTCCTAGGTGAGGAGACCGAGTTCCAGTGTGTTTAACCGCTTTTCCCAAGGTGGCGCAAGGAGACAGTGACAGACCCACAGTGAGAACTGGTTTCCTGATCTCCAGTTCAGAGTCCATTCCTTCAACCACACTGCCTCTGAAGCGGACAGAGCACCATGGGGAGTCAACGTGGGGCCACACAACGGCACTATTAAGTGACCTGAACAGAGAACACATCTCATGGAAAGACTCAGAGAAGAAAGGCTCTGCTTGAGCAAGCTGAAGGAACAGACCAACAAAGCCAGTGAGCATTTATCACTTTCCTGGGTGGAATGAGGGGAGGGAAGGAAAGGTAAAAGGTCAAGGAACCAAAGCAGGTTGAATTAAAATGATGACCATAACCACCTTGATAGGTGAGAAGGTGGGGCAGGTCTAGTCAATACCCAAATACTAACAGTACTGCTAACAAAAATAGAAGTTAAAAGAAAACCCTTTTACTAAAATACCTGTAAATACTCATCAATAATATACCTTTTTTTAAAAAAACACTTCATATTGCATATTATAAACACACATATTGTGAAAAAATGCTTGAACATGAACCACTGTCTTCCCTGCAATGCTACAACTTTATTCTCAAAGGGCACCAGAAGGGTCCCTCCAAGGAATAGGAGTCTTAGTTATTTCTTTTTTACACTTAGATTCTCCACTTCCCTGATACAAACAGTAACACTGGTTCTACAAGTTCTAGAAACAGAACACTGATGGGAAGATTATCTGAGACACTTGATGCACACAATTTGTACCAAAAGTCTGTGATTTCTCTGTAAATTACTAATCTGAAATAGACACAACAAACCGTCCACAGCTTCAACTTCAAATGATTTGAACAAAAATAGAACCAGCCATGGACAGTGTCTGCATCCCTGTCCAATTTGATGTAAACAACATTTGTAGAAATTGGGTTTGTTAAGAAAGTTTATCCATATATCTGGATAGCAATAAAAAGCGTTTCCTAGGAAACTGTAAGATCCTGTACCACACAGCATACAGCCCAACTAAGAGGAAAATTAGGTTGATAGCTAAATTCAAGGTACAAATTTACACAATTTTTCTTAACTCCCGTGCTGATGTCCAAGTAAAGTGGGCATGTACATTGGCAGTTGTATCTGTTTTCCTTCCGGCTGCTGCAGTCTTGCCTCTGAAGTGCAGTGGTCGCGTCTGGATTTCCTCCTCAGCTGTGATTCCCCTGGATGGCCACAGACCCCTGTGCAGTGTCGTCCTTGGTTTCCCCTTCCAGCGTGGTGGTTAATACTGCCCTTCTGCTGCTAAGGACACCACTGTTTCATGTCTTCCCATTTCTTCTAAGACAGCTGCCAGCATGCTCAGGTTTCCATCTGGGAAGTTCTGTGCTTCCCAAAGATCCAGGATTACACCAGTTGGGCTGGATTTGGTGGCAAAGTAATTCAAGTACCTGAAATTGGGAAGGAGAAAATGTGCTGAACGGTGTGACTTACATAACTGTTTTCTCTTGTTTTTTTTTCTTCTTCAGATAAACCTTTCTGTCGCTCTACTTGTCCTTAAGTATCCTGGTCCCATTGTGGTTGACGGTGAGCCATCCTAAATAACTAGCTCATGCTTAATTAGATCAGCCCCAGACAGGAGAAGTGAGAATTTAACTTTGTTAACCTCAACTCTGAGTAAGATAATTTAAGAGGCAAGATATCTATGGGTCATATTCTAAACAGGAAATCAAGAGACGTTTATATTCTCTTTCTAGTCCAGGTTTGCATAATCTTTGACAGGTCTTGCCACATGTTTTGTTTGGTAGTGACGGTGACAGTCCACAAAATAGAGGCTCCAGAGGTCTCTTTATAAATTACTGTCAATGCTGTGTTAGGACCTAATTATTAATCAAACATTAGGTCCTGCTCAACTACAGATGAGTAACAATAATTACTGTAGTGAGTGGCTCTGTGATTTGGGGAATTTAGCCCCTCAGCTTTGCAAAGTGGATTACAAAACCTGATATTTACCAATGTCAAGTAAGCTCAGAATGTCTCTTAGCACTCTTTAAAAGCCCATAGTGCAAGGTACAAGGACAGAGCTTAATGCATATTTGCAAAATGAAAAATTAAATAGATGTGTAGATGGAAAGAAAAATGCTAGCCTATGTCTAATAGCTATCAATGCTGGAGAGCTCTAACAAAAAGAAACTAGTCCTGGGGCCTGGCCGTACCCACCTGTCCAGGTTTAGCTTATGGGCCAGCATCCTCCAGTCATGGCCTCTCGTCTGGGGGGCATCCAGGCTGCTACAGAGCTTCTGCCGGATAGGGAGAGGGATGCTGAAAGCACTGGGCCCCGTGACAGTGGTGATGGTGTTCGCAGGATCCAGCAGCGGCAAATCGATGCCAGTAGGTTCCTGGAGTTCAGAGATAGGAACAACACAGCATTATTTCTGCAGACAAAAGCAATCTCTATTTGTTAATGAATCATCATAATGCCTTGCTTTGAGCGATAAGAAAAGAATGAGTGCTGTTATACTCCTTAGGAAGAATGGCTTCTTCTTAGCCTGAAAGTTGTGCATCACTAGATGTAACCTGGCTCAGAGAAAGAGGTACATATATTTTGAGTCTTAACTTTGCATAGCCTCAGATTTATGGGTCTTAGGTGAGAACTGGGCTGGATGGAAAGCTCTGGTGTGATTCAATAACAGCTTTTACTAATGGGATTCTCCAGGATGAGAGAAAAGAAAGGGAATATCAGAGCTCCTGATGGTTTATATTTCAGGAGAGGAAAATGTTCAAAAGGGTAGTGCTTTTGAAATGAATAGATGTGAGAGTCAGGGCTTCTGGAAAGGGCCTGACCTTGGGGGGAATGTCCTGGGTAAATGCCCCAGTAGTTCTCCCTCTAAACTCCACAGATGATGTCTCAGTTCTGCTTTTGTTGAATGAAATGGAACACAGCTCTCCTTTAAATGATAACAACTTAAGGCTAATTTTTCAAAAAAAAAAAAAAAAAAAAAAGGGTAAACACAGTATATTATTACCTTAGGGCAAGATTGTTAATGGCATCCTCCAATTGCTGTATATCCTTATTTTTTAAAAATCTAATTTTAGTAGAGAAAACCGTAAATTGGCTCTTAAAAGATAGTCTCAGCTCATAAAACAGCACAAATGCAAAATCTGAATTTCATCACAGGAGAAATTCTAATCATTTTCTGATCACTTCTGCTGGTTGGAAAAGCAAAGCAAATGTTTCCTGGGAACTATTAAAGCAATAAAAGAAAATCTACTTAATCTACTATAAAAAAAATGCCATCTCTCTCTTTTTTAAGCAGGTAACTTGTTGATATGCCCCACTAGTTGCCAGAGGAGGAACTGGCCACACCCAGTTTCAGCCATCATGAAGTGTTTGGCTCCTGCTGAGCACTCAGCTCAGGGGCTCAACACCACCATCACCCAGAGCTCCCCAAATGTTGCCCGGCACTGCTGCAGTGGCCTCCCCAGCCATGGGTACACTGGCACTGCAGGGGATGGGGTTGCAACTGCCTGTGTGCTAGTGTTGACTAGCAGTTTGTTCCATGTTCTGCTATCAGCAGCAAGTGCTCACTTCTAGGCTTATTCAGTCCCATGGCACAGGGTCCATCTGGGGGTGTGGAGGGCATCTGAATTTTGTCATGTTATGCACAGTGGTGTTGGCCATGATCATGGTGTTTGTCCTCAAAACCCAAAGCTTGGCAAACTGGGGCTCCAAGCATTCCCCTGGCTCCTTTGTGTTGGCTCCAGTACATACATACCAGGATTTAAAAGACTCTGGCATGAACAGATGGGAGTCAGAGGCCCTGAATGAGGGTCACAGCCTGCAGCTCCTCCCCCATCAGGCACAGGGTCCTTTCCAAGGCAATGAGGAAAGAGGGTTCCTGACCTCTAAGGGAATAGGGCTCTAAGAAAGGTGACCATGGAGTGATCTGAGGCCATGTGTCATGTTTCTCAATGGATTTATGTTTCGGGCATCTGGACTAAGTGCCTCAGTGCCTCTATGTATGGAGTGGAGGGCATAAGTGAAGATGATACAGACAGGAAAACAGGGAAATACTAAGTAGAAGAGGGCAATGGCCAGAACGAATAATAAGTTCCCGGCAATGGCCACACCCTCAAGCCCGAAGGCCTATAGCCCTAAATGAGGACAGGCATTTCAGTTTTCACATCCAAAAAGTTGTCTTTTGGCCCACCATGGCCCTTATCCTAGCCCCATATAAACCCCAAACCCCAAGCTCCAGATGAGACCCACAAGCAAGGAGATGAGGAGGCACACAGAGCAGCAATAGAACAATGACTAAAACACCAAAATCAATGACAACAAAAGCCAAAATACACAAATGGGATCTAATGAAACTCCAGAGCTTCTGCTCAGCAAAAGACACAATCACTAGAGTGAACCAGCAACCAACAGAATGGGAAAAAATGTTTGCAATCTACTCATCTGACAAAGGGCTAATATGCAGAATCTACAAAGAACTAAAACAAATTTACAAGAAAAAAAACCCATCATCAAAAAGTGGGTGAAGGATATGAACAGACACTTCTCAAAAGACAACATTTTATGCAGCCAGTAAACATATGAAAAAAAAGTTTATCATCACTGGTCATTAGAGAAATGCAAATCAAAACCACATTGAGATACCATCTCATACCAGTTAGAATGGCGATCATTAAAAAATCAGGAGACAACAGATGCTGGAGAGGATGTGGAGAAATAGGAACACTTTTACACCATTGGTGTGAGTATAAATTAGTTCAGTCATTGTGGAAGACAGTGTGGCAATTCCTCAGGGATCTAGAACTAGAAATACCATTTGACCTAGCAATCCCATTTCTGGGTATATACCCGAAGGATTATAAATCATTCTGTTATAAAGACACATGCACCTATGTTTATGGTGGCACTGTTCACAATAGCAAAGAGTTGGAACCAACCCAAATGCCCATCAATGATAGACTGAATAAAGAAAATCTGGCCATGGAATACTATGCAGCCATAAATAAGGATGAGTTCATGTCCTTTTCAGGGACATGGGTGAAGCTGGAAACCATCCTCAGCAGACTGACACAAGAACAGAAAACCAAACATCACATGTTCTCATTCATATGTGGGTGTTGAACAATGAGAACACATGGACACAGGGAGGGAAACATCACACACTGGGGCCTGTTGGCAGGGGGGATGCTATGAGAGGGATACCAGGGGGTTGGGGAATATGGGAGGGATAGCATGAGGATAAATACCTAATGTAGATGACGGAGTGATGGATGCAGCAAACCACCATGGCATGTGTATACCTATGTAACAAACCTGCACTTTCTGCACAAGTACCCCAGAACTTCTAGTTAAAAAAAAAGAATCCAGCTGTCTTCTTTTGAGCTAGACATGAAAGAAATTTGCAAAGTCAAAAAAAAAAAAAAAAAGCAGGGATGTCTGGATGCTAAAGGGAGGTCAGCCGAAGTCAGTAAGAGAAGAGTCTGGCCAGTGGGTGGCCCACCTCCAGGGGAAGAGCACCTTCCCACTCCCTCTCCTCTCCTGGCTCGCTATCCATCCTGCTGAGAGCCACCTCCACCAGTCAATAAAACATTGCACTCATCTTTCAGACCCACATGTGATCCAGTTCTTTTGGGACACTGGGCAAGAGCTCAGGATACAGAAGGCTGTCACACTGGTCCCTGCCCTTGCAATAATGCAGAGGGTCCATTGAGCTGATGAACACACAAGCCATCTGTAGATGGCACAGCTAAAGTTGCACACTGTAACACATGCCCACTTGGGCTTTAGAAGTTGCAGACACCCACCCCTAGATGCTGCTGTGGGGCCAGAGCCCAAAAGTGCTTGCCCCAGTTCCTGCACATGCCCACCTGTATGCTCACCCTCCTGTAAGGGGTTTGAATTGTGGGGTGACCAAACAGGCGAGCCACACCCCTGTCATACAGCCTGCAAGAGGAATCCACGAATTCTCTGGTTTGGAAGAGAAATCACATGCTAGTTCTACAGTCTAGTGCCATTGCCCATATTGTGGCCCTGCTTGCTTCTTTTCTGGATAATGACAATAGGGGCTAAAAGACCTGCCATATTCCTTAATACACCACAACTTTGATCATCTCTCCATGGCAGTGGAAGGTTACGCCAGTCTGCCCAAGGGAGGGCCTTCTTTTGTAGTGCTGACTTGTGTCCCCAGAGAGTCTTTGTACTGTTGGTCCCAAGAGTGCCCCACTGCTTACCTGTGATTCATCCCATTTTCCTGCCCAAGTAATCTTCCTAAAGTGCTGCACTGATGAATAGCAACATTTCTCTCTCTCTTCCTCTTATTCTCTCATTAGGAAGTGTTAAATGCCCCTCCTACCACATGAAGTCCCAACTCTTAAGCAGTGAAGTATAAGTATATATGTGTTTTTAGAGACAGGGTCTTCATGTGGTAGCAGGGGCATTTAACACTTCTCTGTCACCCAGGCTGGAGTGCCGTGGTGTGATCATAGCTCACTGCAGCCTGGAATTCTTGAGCTCAAGCGATCCTCCCACCTTAGTCTCCCAAATAGCTGGGACTACTGGTGTGCACCATCACACTGGGCTAATTTTTTCTTTTAAGAGATAGGGTATCACTGTGTTTCCCGGCTGCTCTCAAACTCCTGGGCTCAAGTGATCTTTCTACCTCAGCCTCCCAAAGTCCTGGAATTGCAGGTGTGAGCCGCCACACCTGGCCCAGTAAGGGATATTTGTACAACCTTCCTGGTTGGCTGGTATGAGGCTGCAAAGGTGACCCTGTGGCGTGCAGAGTGCAGCTGGACATGAAGTAGGGCCGTTCACCTGTGCTTCCACCACTTCACAATGTGATCTCAGGCTGCCCCGTCCTTACCGTGACTTGACCTAACTCATACTCTCCTTAGAGTCTGAGCACCACTCATGATTTATTTCTCCTGCTGTTTCTAAGGATGCACCTCTCACAGTTTTTCTGCCCTTTCCTTGATCTCTGTCAGGCAGAGTCCTCAAAGCCTGGTCCAAAAGTCCTGTGCCCTGGGGCAACCCTGGGCAGCCCACCCTAGGCATCAGGCGTGGAGGCCTCCTTGGTGCCTCCCAGCTCCTCAGTGCTCCTCGCACGCTGTGCACATCGGCTGTGTTTACAGGTTACTGCCTTTCATTTTTCACATATCTTATTGGTGAGAGTGCATCATCCTCAGACCTCTGTGATAACACTGTGCCCCCCACACAGAGGCTACTCAATTAATGTTTGTTAAAATGAGAGAAAACATGTCTCCTTAGTGCAGAAAGAAGATGAAGCCAGTCCCTGATAGAAGCCATAGACTAGTGTGTTGAGCTGCCGTCCAACTAAAAGTGGCTACGGGTGAGTTTCTCCTCAGTTAACTCCTGAAATGAGAGGCCAGTTGAAGATAGGCATGGATCTCAGGAAGGCCTGCTCACACATTCATCTCATCCCCATTTTCTTGTGGATAAAGAACTATCAGCATTTCATGTGGGCATTAAAGTCCTGAGCGCTTTATCCCTGGCTGCGCTGCCTATTTATGTGTAGATGGAACAAGCTCAATAGGGCATCATTTCTTTGTCTCTCTTATCAAGTGGCTGACAACAGCCTTGAAGGTAAAAGTAAAATACATTTATACATTTACATTTCATCTAGTAATTTCAGTTGCTGTTAGTTCTTCCTTTACTTCGAGGTAAAAGTAGAGTTTACTCTCACAGAACACTTATGTCAATAATCATTTATGATATTGGTATGATTGGTCTTTGATGTTATGATATCTTTTGTAAACATATGACTTTTTTCAAAGTTAGTCAAACACCTTCTGTGGGCGATAACACACATTTTCAGGACTCCACAGCCATGAAACAACTTTCTATTCTGATATTTCGACTTTTCCTAGTCACTTAGGAAAACTAGATTTTCCCCATGGTCATTTTGAGCAGGTTATAGAAAGCAGAAGATGTAAACAGTTGAAATGGCTGTAGCAGAGTGATATGGCTTCGTACATTCATTTAAAGTGTTATTTGCATATACAAAAGTGCTATGCATCACAACTTATAAAGAGGTTATAAGATCTACCAAATGTAAAAATTATAGTTGCTTTTATTACCTATAAATCTGTTATTAAGGTAGAAGAGGTCTGGTGCCGTGGCTGATGACTATAATTCCATCACTTTGGGAGGCTGAGGTGGGTGGATAACCTGAGGTCAGGAGTTTGAGACTAGCCTGGCCAACGTGTTAAGACCCCATCTCTATTAACAATACAAAAATCAGCCAGATGTGGTGGCACATGCCTGTAATCCCAGCTACTTGGGAGGCTGAGGCAGGAGAATTGCTTGAACCCAGGAGGCAGAGGTTGCAGTGAGCCAAAAATCATGTCACTGTAATCCAGCCTGGGCCATAGAGTGAGACTTTGTCTCAATTAAAAAAAAAAAAATGACTGATACTGCCCCTAAAACTGCACCTTTTTTCAGGGTTGAAAGCCTTCAACTAAAGCAATGTTGTGATAAACAAACTTGGGGATACATGCTACCTTCTTTTCTCTGGGAGCTAATTTTTGTTTATTTATATTTTGTTTTCATGTACTTATTTATATAGGATCTGAGTTTTATATTGTGTTTATTTTGATAGATAGGAAATCTGAAACCTCAGCTGATGACAGACCCCACAGATTGAAGCAGCAAAGTTGATTCAAGAGCCCTGTTATCCTCATGGCCTCTATGGCACCAATGAAAATGGTGAACATAGATGAAGCATGTGCTTTGGGCCAGGTTCTATTTAGAACACTTACTAACATTCTGCCATTTAATTCCCACAACAGGCCCAAGATAATATCCTATACCAATTTATACATGGAGAAACTGAGGCAAGAAAGGATTTAAGTAATTGACCTTATCTCCATGGAATTGTCTACTTGGGAATTTCCCATGATGGACACCTGCCTGTAACTGGAACAAAATAGAAGATGTGAAAAAAAATTATAAATTTCTCTATCCTCTGAACCATATTTTTTTCTGGAGATAATGGGGGAGCTTCCTGGTTATTCTATCTGCACTTGTCTATGAAACAAAAAACAAACCAAAACGGAAAAAAAAAAGGAAAAAAAATCTTGTGTCTTCTTTTACATTTTGACATTCATTTGTGCCAATACATTTAGCCTTCCAGACATTTTTCTTCTTAAACTTCATCTCTGTGCTAAAGCCTCTGTCTCTAGTTAAGGAATCTCTGCCCAAAGCACCCAGAAACAATCGGCTGGCCCTTGAAATAATCAGAGTAGATGCCACGCACAGCCTGGCTCTGGGGTGGGCAACAGGTCCTCTGTCTGACAGGAGAAGCCAAGGGCTGTGTGGCTTTATAAATGACGACTGACGAGTGCACTGGGTGGTGGGTGGCTAGAGGGAGGGGCAGCACATTTCTGGCAAGTCAGCTCATTCCTGGGAGATAGGACATTGGAATGGGAACTGCAGCCCACTGCCATCTTGCCCTGTGACCCTAGGAATGAGCCCTGTTCAGAAGAAAGAAATCACAAATGGATCCTTTTCTCTACTTGTTTATGGTTTGTCAATCATCTTGTATCCTTTCTTGGAGGTTTGGATGAGGAGCTGGGTCCCAGAACTCTCTAGAGTCTATTGTTCTTCAGCTCAGAGGCTTCCTCTCCAATGTCAGTACCCCCATCCACACTCCCTCTCTGCACACCCAGCACCCGCATTCAAATGCTAACCACAACAGTGGGATTCAGTGACCCAGAAGGAAAAGCCACAGAGTGCCCCTTAATCCCCAAAGTCATCTTCACTCTGCTCACTTCTTCCCCTCCCTCAGTTAAATATGCTTGTCTGTCACACACGGGCAAATGCCTCCGACATCACTGAAGGCTAGTCTCTTAGAGCAGACTGCCACCAGGTTGCAAAAGAAGTAATCTCTCCTCTATGTTTCCACAAGAAAGCGGGCCCTTAAATTGTAATCACACTATGCAAAACTGTCCTTTTCCTGAAGGGCGGTGGCAGCCCTGATGGGGGAGAGCACAGAGCTGCTCTCTTTTCATTTGTGGCTGCATCTGATCCACCTTTTTAACACACAGCCAATGTTCACGCAGAACAGAAAGCAAGCATCAAAGGACCAGACCTCCTCACCCCCCTCCAAAATTCTGCAGCCTTTGTTGTCACTGGAGCTGGGTGGTTATTGAACTTTGCAGACCTGCTGGGCCTAGAAAGTGAAAACACCCTCCCGAGCCAGCAGGGGTGGTGCTGTGTGCCTGGGAGATAGCGCTCCGCATCCGAGGGCCCGGCGGTTGCCATGGCACCCTGACACCGAGATCATTCCTTATGAATGTCACCGGGGGCTGTGACTAAAGTTGTTTATGAGTCAAAAGTCTCATGAAACTACGGGAGGAAACGATGACCACACCTCGGCGGGCTGTGGGAAAGAAGGATGGCGCGGAGGCTGACGCGCTTTTCTCCTGGCTTGGTTTGCTAAGGAAGATGGTCTTTAAATACGACATGTGGAGCAAGACAAGCTGAACATGCTGATATTTCATTCGTTACTGTGCATGAGACAACTAGGGAGAGGTAGTATTTTAAATCGTATACTGGCTCGCTGTCACTTTCACATATGACAATCTTGTGCTTTGTGGCTTAGCACGCAGCACGGGGCTTAGCTCCATGAGGCCCAAAAGAGGCTGCCTTCTGCCCATTTGGCTTCTTTTCTTCCCTTTGTTCCTCCCAGGTGTAAGGTTATCACTTTTTAAGCCTTTGGATCCAAGGTAACAGATAAGGAAGGTCATAGGCACCTCCTCTTTTCTTAAGGAGAAGTTTTAAATAGCAGTGATCACGATTATTTCTGTAATATGGACACAGGGAAATGACCAACCACGGAGGTATGTGAAGATCATAGCAAAGGAAGGCAAAGCTGATGGCCCCTGGGGAGGCGGGGATATGAGACTCTACTTCTATTTCAGGGATATTTCCCCCACCCCAGAGGAAAGTGTATCTCTTTTTATATTTAGAGAATGATAGATGAGAGAGAAAGGAGACCAAGAGATTTCTCCTTTCTTACTCTGAATGGAAAGAAAGGGAGAGAAGAAGAAAGAGGGAGCAGAGAGGCCCCTCTCCCTTCTTCCACCCCACCCAGCAGCACGTGATTAGGGGAAAGGGAGGAGAGTTCCTGAGAAGGAAGCAGAAAGGGAGGAGAGACGGATGGAGGGTGCGGGAATGTGGCACGCTAAGGGAGGCGTGGGGAGAAGCTGCTCCATGTGCATGCTCCCTAAATTAAACCTTTACTTGAAATTCAGATCTGCTTTTGAACGTTAGAAAATAACTCTTAAAATTTATCTCAGAAAAATTGACTTGTTTTTCAAAGAGGATTCCTTTATATATATATTTTTTCAGCTACTAGCTTCCCCTGCTCATTAAAAATATTATTCTATTAACAAATAGGATCTGGAAAAAGCTTCTGAGGATTTCCCATATGGCCTACATTGAGACACCGTCTTAGCCCAGACTCTCTCCTCCTGAGGGTCTCCCTCTCCCCTGATTTCAGACAGACAGGAGCTGCTTACCTCTGACACGGTGCAGTTGAGCTGGAAGATCTGCCCTTCTCCTTCCACCTGCCGCACACAGAGTTTGCAAACCAGCTCAACTGTGTTCAGGCTAAATCTTTCCAGAGTGAAGGTGCAGTGCAGGTTTCTTTGAGACCCACTCCAGACATGGTAAAAAGGAATTTCCTAAAGGATGTAAAAGTGTTAACCACAAATGAAGGACTAATACCAAAAATCACTCGCAGATGATCTGCTGCTAGGCATTCTCAGCACCACACCTACTGCCTCATTCAATCCTCACAACAGCCCTGTGTTTAAGTACATCCTGGCCCCTTTTCACATGAAACATTTGAGACCAAGAGAGGTTAAATAATTTACACCGAATCACACAGCAAGTAAGTAGCAGGGTTGAGATTCGAACCTAAGGAGTCAGACTCCAGAATCCATGTGCCTAACTAGTCTGCCACATGTCTCTAATTTACAACAAGAGCCATTGCCAGTGATAAAAAAGTGTTCATAAAATTCCCAAAATAAAACTTGCACACACCAGCCATTGATCATTAAAAGAATTCCTGTCGCGACATTCTGGAGAAAAGCAAAGAAAGTCTAAAGGATGATGCCCTGATGCTGCTCCCTTTCATGCTCACATCCTCCTCTGCCCAGGGCAGGGGGAGCCAAAACCCACTCCAGTTGAAAACTTCAGACTCAATTAGCTGCCACAGAAAAGTCCATGGCACCAGGCATCAGACTAATTTTCTCAAAGTCTAGACCACCTTACAGAGCCTGTCCTAGATTTGGTTTTCAATAAAGGAAAGAAAAGGTTGCCACATAAAAACTGGAACAGCACACTGGTAAAAAGCAGTGGCTTCGGAGCCAAATCCAGTATAAATGGGAACCCCTTATTTTGCTTACTTGGTAATCTGGGGCAAGTTACTTAATCTTTCCATTGCTCAGTTTTCCTATCTGCAAAAGAGTAAAAGAGTTTCTCATTCATAGGTCTGCTGGGGTTAAATGAGATATATCAGCGTATAAAGAGTGTGTCTGGCAGATGGTAAGCATTCAGCCAGGCTAAGCTTTAACTAATATCATATTATCATTATCATTAAAATAGCATTTTCTTATAATCGTGTAAAGGAAATTATGTTTAAAACAGGGAGATTTGTGGAATTCTATAACAACTGCAATACAAAGGAAAGAAGAAAACGAGGAGGTGTACTGGGTAAGTCAGAAGCTTTCTGTCTCCATTAAAGACTGAGCTATGTATAGAAATGGCTTGCAACCCACACCATTAACAAACCAGTAGGCTTGTCTCCCATAATTCATGTGCAGGAGCTTGACCAATGAGAGTGTGAATGGAGCCAGAAAATCTTCCTGTCTTCCAGTATGTTCATGGACTTACATCAGGAAACAGCTACCCGTTCAACCACAATGCTGTTTAGGTTGAATTTGCATAAATATAAATGTGGATTCACAGCTCTCTAAGTATGTCTGCATATGAGGCCTGCAACCCCATCAGAGCAGTTTTCTCAGAGCTCAGGCTGACGGATGGAGGAGGGGAAAATTCCTTGAGGGTCTAGTGATTTTCCCCCAGGTGCATACAATGACACTTGGGACCAGTATTTTCTTGCCTGTTATATAATAATATCCTGATTGGGTTTTGCTTTTACATGCTATTTCAGTTCTCCGAACTGGGGATCCCTCTGATTTTTCCATATAACGGTACTGGTCTAGGAAGGCAGAAGCCTAATTTGTGTCCCATGAAATAAAAACGTCCTTCTGCTTGTTTCTGTGAATGCATTTGAAGCTGTTTTTACCCATTGATGTGAACATGTAGTATGAAAATTAATTGAAATGATGGATTTGGAAGTCTTTCATTTAATAAAAATGAAACTGATAGTATATTTATTTAAAGAAAGACTTTTTAAAAAGTATTCCTTCAAATATCTCTGTATTTCTCAAAAAGTCTAAATAGCCCCAAACTATTTTGGAGAAACAAGAATAACATATGATTACTTTCAAGGAAGCGGATTTCTTAGGTCTATATAATTGTAGTCTTCTTTCTTGGAGCTGTCTTCAGACCTATTGTTCGGTTTGGGAACCTTACCTGATATTTAGCCAGCAATTTGCTCTTCCAGAGGGAATGGGCGATATCGTGAATTGACAGGCGCAGGTTGTGGGTGCTGCCTTTAAAATGAAGAGCCTTAGGTTCTTCTAGGAGCTGTCCTCCCAACTGTCTCTCAAGATGTAAAACTTCCTGTAATGACATACCCCAAACCCAAGCACGTTACTGAATGGCATCACTTCTGTCAGCTCGCTCATTGAATACATTTCTTTACTGCCTCCTGAATGGCAGACAGAACTTTGGCAATGCCATGAACACCCACTTTTGCAGCCTTGAGACCCTCTAACTAAAACCCCTCCCATTTTATACAGGGCCAGGCCCTAATAACAAATTATGTTTTGGCAAACTACATCACACTGCCATGGAGCAAATTCAGTAGAATTTGCCCATCCCTACTGAGGAGGAGAGTACTTCATCAAATACAGGGGCGTTACATCAGAACTCAGAACCAGAGAGCCAGAAATTAAAGAAAACTTAGGCAGAAATGTAGACAGACTGCTAAGAAATTGGATTTTCAATTAAGTTTTAGGGAAAGGGACAAATAACTAGAAGAGATACTCATTTCTTGGACTTGATAAAACCAACCAACAAATGAATTAGAACCTGTTTTAGACATTTAGTTCAATCTCTTATAGTTTCTTCAAGTACAGAAATAATAACAATTTTGCTTACAATGATTTATTGCATAATTCGCGATTATTAAAAAAATTTTAGATTATGTTAATTATATGTCTATTAAAGGAAAATATTCTGATACAGATTAGGAAGGTTTTAAACCCCAAATATTGAGCTAAACAGTTACTCAAATTACATTTTTAAAAGAATACTTTATTTCTCGAGAATTGTAGCTGATAAAAAAATTTGCTACATCATTTACTTATACTGTACAGATACAACATGAAGACAAATTCTATATGTACTTCCATTTCTCAGGCTAGTTAATGGGTGTAAATGAAGCATTTCCAAATGCAGTTGTAATTATTCAAACAGCAGCAAACCATTAGTTATCAATGAACAAGCTATCTTGGGCATCCTGTGCTGTCTGAACCATCCCCATGTACCTTACTCCTCAAGCCTTAAAAGTTTTATATTTTTTATTTTCTCTGACAAAGTTTCGCAATGACACTATCTCGGCTCACTGCAACCTCCGCCCCCCAGGTTCAAGCAATTCTCCTGCCTCAGCCTTCTGAGTAGCTGGGATTAGAGGCATGTGCCACCAGGCCCAGCTAATTTTATAGTTTTAGTTGAGATAGGGTTTCTCCATATTGGCCAGTCTGGTCTCAAACTCCCCACCTCAAGTGATCCACCCACCTCAGCCTCCCAAAGTGCTGGGATTACAGGTGTGAGCCACCATGCCTGGCTGCCATAAAAGTTTTAATGATACGGATATGTAGGAAATTTGTGACCCATTTTAAAATAAGGGTCCAGGAATATATGGATTTTATTAAAAAAACAAAAAATGTTTTCTTTGGTGATATTTCAATAGAAAGCAAGGAATTCAAGAACACAGGTGTTCATTCATACTGTAACATTCATCTACTGGGTACCCAGCAGGGTACCAAGCACCGGTGGGTCACAGAGGACAATTTCGGGCATGAGAACCAGACTGCCTCATATTCAGAAAAATGACCTTGCATTTGTTGAATGCATTGTAACCCAGGCACTTGTAGAGCAGTAAGTGTGGTGCAAACGGATCATTCCAAGAGCTGCGTTAGTGGTTCTTAGCATCCATCATCTTTGGGTGAGGCTACTATTCTGAATCTTGCAAGCTGCTGAAAGGTCCTATAAGGTGTCAAAAATATTAGGATAATGTGGAATGTGGTTTCAGACAGGGTGTCCTCTAATTAGTGTCTAATGGAAGGGACGAGGCAATAACACACTGACGCAGGCAAGTATGTGATCCAGCTGCCTGAGAGTATTGACCTGCTACTTAACGTTGCTGGCTGATGAGAAGCTATGGCTTGTGACAGGAACACGAGCAGTCAGCCAGCCCCAGCCACAGTCAGCCAGCCACCTGGACACATGTTGTGTCATTGTGCCCCTGGTCTGCTGTGCCTGAGCCCAGCAGGCTCTGAGGGTCTCCCATAGGCCATACAGACCCATCCAGCCGTGAGTCACACATGCTCCTCACAGAACGCAGCACACCCCACTCCACTCCAATCTAGACAAGAACCCAGCCACGTGGAAGTGGAGAAGAAGAAGAGAAGTGAGGGTTAATTGCAGTTTCTTCTGCTTCAGCAGGAAGGCATAATGAGCTTATGTTGATCATGTTGGGTGTCTAGCATAATAGAAAAAGCTGATGTTCCCAGCAAACCTGGCACCTGACAAATTCTAAAGCTAAAATGATGTTTGTTTATAAGCCATTAGAAGAAACATAATTAGAAATCTTTGAGATTACAGTCATGCCAATCAATCAGTTCCAGCTTCTTTCCATACGCCCTAATTACCTCATCAAGTTGTCTAAAGAGCAATCGATAGTAATTATCTGATTACTATAGATCTTCATTATGTCGAAATTATCTCCCTGGGATGTCTAAAAGAAGATGCATTGTATTCTGGGAGGTAATTGTACCCAACAATGTATAATCCACACCCCATTCCTACAATCAACGTGGATTGCCAGAGGATATGAAGGGTGGTTATCAGTTTTCCTGGCAGGCAGGACATTGAAAAAACCTGAACTGCCTGTTGGCCATGACCTTGAAGTCAGGAAATCTAACACGGCATTTTGAGTGCAAAGTCTTCATTGGAGTCAGCCCAAATCAGGCTCGGTATTTTGTTTCTTCACCAATGATCTCAAAAGTCACAGTAAAGAATTCTCCCTAGTGGGGAAAATGTCTAGACTGGCTTGGAAGAGCCCCTTTTTGGAGAAAAAGTGTCAAGTGCCATTTTAAAGACAGTGGGGACACAGAACAGATTCCTTCCATATTCTTAAGCTCACCATCCTAGGCGTCTCTGTCACCTAGGAGCGATACAAAGCTGCAGCGCAGAGCAGGAAGGAACCTGACTTTTTTCTCTTTTCCAACCGGACAGAAACCCTGGGGAAGGGTAAACTGCCCATCAGGACACATCCATGCTTAGAGCAGAGGCTGTAAACATGTTTGCCAGCATAGTCTACCAGTCAAAACACTGGGCATGGGCTGGGCGCGGTGGCTCACGCCTGCAATGCCAACACATTGGGAGGCAGAAGCAGGCAGATCACGAGGTCAAGAGATCGAGACCATCCTAACCAACATGGTAAAACACTATCTCTACTAAAAATACAAAAATTAGCTGACCTAATGGGCACCTGTAATTTCAGCTACTCAGGAGGCTGAGGCAGGAGAATCACTTGAACCTGGGAAGCGGAGGAGGTTGCAGTGAGCCACTGCCCTGCAGCCCGGCAACAGAGCAACACTCCAACACAAAAAAAAAAAAAAAAAAAAAAAAAAAAATCCCAAAAAAAACACTGAGCACGTGTATTTATAAATTACATATCTCTGTTATCAGTATGTTAATACAAGATACACATAAAATCAACATAAAGTTCTATGTTAATCTATGCTAGCATAAAGCTAAGTACTAATACTGTTTTTTTTTTTTTTTTGTCCCTTTGGTTCATTGGGCCTGGGGTGTGTGAACTTCGTATTGGAGACGACTAGCTCAGGCAGCTCGTCCTTACACTGGTCCCTGGGGAAGAATTCAGCCCAGCAGCGAGGGATTCAGTCACCTTCCACACTGAAACTTAACATTCTTTCCCACAACATGCCAACTGGCACCACTGCACTAAAGATGTTCATGACATAGTAAAGCATAATAGAAAAAAGGAGAGAAACACCACAAAGGTGTGAATTAAAGAGATCTCAATCAATCATTCCAACAACTCCTGGGAAACAAGTATAATCTAAAACCACACAGGAGCAGGAGCCGACTAGTCACATATGGCGAATCTCAAATAAAATTTTGTGTGAGATAATAGAAGAAGCAAGCCTGCTGAAAGGCTAATCAGGCTTTGTCTTGTGTTGTTACCGTTTTAAGCGTTATAATTTGAGATTTACTCCAGCAGATTCCACTTAAAAATATGCTGCAACTTGTACTTCACACTACTTGATTTTCTGAATTCTTTGCACATGATCTCAGTTTGGTTATTTATATGATACAGATATGTAAGCGGACAGAAAAATAGCAGATACACAAATAAATAAGATATGGCTTTACAATTCAGTGTCTTCCTGTGCTCCTTTTTCCTGGGAACATTCATTCAATATCAATGAGACACGTTAGGCTGTCAGGAACCACGTCAGGTCTGGGGCACACAGAGAAGTAAGCCCCCATCACTGCTGTAAACTGCTCATGGGCAAATGGTCCACCGGGGTTGGGGGGTGACCTGTCAATGCATAACCACAACACAACAATGTGCCCAGCTCCAAAGCCACTTCCAGACCGGCTGCTTTCGAATCACAAAGTTTAAAATATGTCACATACCTTAAAAAAGAATAAGAGAAAAATATATTTAAGGTCAAAAGCTTTAGGAAGACTTAAGAGAAATATCTGAGCCCGGAAAGAAATGCTATAGTTAAGGATGAGGATCCTCTGGCCTCTTTGTTCTTGGCAACCTGAATGTCGCCTGCCTTTGCAGAAGCTGTCCTTTCTACTGCCTCAGTGGCCTGGTCTGGCTCTGGATGAATCCACCTGTTGCTTTGATGAGCTTTTTTTGCTTCTGTGAGAAGGAAGACAGTTTCTGACTTCCTTTTACAGTTCTTTTTTTCAAAAAAATTTTTAGAGACCCTCTTTGTCGCTCTGTTGCCCAGGCTAGAGTGCAGTGGCGTGATCATAGCTCACTGCAGCCTTGACCTCTGTACACAAGGAATCCTCCTATCTCAGCCTCCCTAGTACCTAGGACTACTGGCACATGCCACTGCACCTGGCTACTTTTAAAACTTTTTGTAGGGACAAGGTCTTGCTATGTTGCTAAGGCTGTCCTTGAACTCCTGAACTCAAGCAAACTTCCCACCTCAGCTTCCCATCTAAGTGCCGGTATTACAGGCATGAGCCACTGCGTCCAGCCTCCCTTGTACAGTTCTATCTGCACCCCTCTAACTTTTCCTTGCAAAAACACCCTCAAGAGTAGGTCATCAGTAAAACTATCTCTA